TAAAATAGTTGTTACTATGGAATTTTTCATTTTTGAATGTCCACTGAAAAAGAAAATACTATTTTTGCTCAACTTTTTTTTTTTTTTTTTAATCCAAATAAACTCTGAAAGCAAATTCCCCCTCCAAAAAAAAGATATTAACTCAAGAGAGTTAAAATGCATTCTGCTTTGGTTGGTGCTAACTCAGTATGGATCAACAACCTTCCTAATAACTCTTACTTATTTGGGAGAGTCCAAATATAGTTAAAGAATAATAGACTGTAAGACAAATACAGTTTAACAACAAAGTCATAACGGGCACAACTATTTGCATTATACCACTAATAATTATTCCCATCCGTATAAGATACTTTCTAACATGCATTGTTTCACTTCTGATAACTTCACCAGGATGCTGTGTGTGCATGTGAAGAAACTACACAGAAAAATGTAAATACTTAAGCTGAATTTCTATAATTCAGAGAATTCATTCTGTGTTCCTGAGAAACAACTGATTTTCTGATATAGCTGCCTGACAAGCCCTTTGTATATTCATGTATGCTATGAACAACTTATCATAACGTGCACTGTAACATAATTTGTCAAATGCTTTTGAAGTTCTAATTTTGTATATAGCTGTTTCATTACAGTTTATTGTATAAGTGGCTTGGCAGCCTATAAAGAATTTTATACATCCATTTCAAACAACTGAACAGTAGTATGTATACATTGTATATATATACATATATAAGTCTTTATTCCCAGTGTTTCCAAAATTTTTAATATTACAACTGTGTCAGCCTGCTGTATTTAATTTAAACAATTATGGGATTCAACAGTTAGAAGTGAAATATGCATTTCACAAGTGAAATAAAACGAAAAAAAAAGCGAACACAAACTACAGTTCAGCAGTCTGGCCTTTAGTTTGATGCACTGGCTGTGTCTGGGTACTCACTAATTCCATCCATTTCAATTAACTACAGATTTCTTTATCTGCAAGTCTAGAGAATGGACAAGAATTGAACATGTAATTTGATTATCGATGTGAACACAAAGATGGAAAGCTTAATAAATATTAGGAAAAAAAAACAATGGATAGATGACTGCTCCCTCATTATTTGAATTTTTTTTTATCACTTTGTGATAACATTTTCCGCTTTAGATGAAACACTTTCATGTGAAAACTACAGCACTATCGCTTTCAGTAACTCACAACATTTTCAAATGTAGATAGTGATCAAAAGGCAGACAAATCCACTTTAACCTTTCAAGCAGAGTGAGGTGGTCTTCAGACATCCTGTACCTATGACACTGTCTTGAGTTGAAGAAAGGGGCAGACAGCACTTACTCAGCATGAGAATGACTAATTTATTAAGCTTTTTGAGTTATTACCTTGAAGATACTAAGTGTACATTCATGATATAAAAGTAGGAATATGCATTCAACATTATCTATACAAAAAGATATTTATTTCTTGGATTTCTAAGTGCAAAAGAAAAAAAGAACAGAAATTGTCAACTAAAAAGAAGGTACTTCAGAACTATTTGTGGACTATCCTTCTGTAAGGATTTTATAAAGACAAAGATTAAGAGTTAAAACCATTAAGAATTTGTCATTTCTTCCTGAGAACCACATCTAAATTAACTTACTGAAAGTGATATTAGAGAGATTTATTAGGCATAGGCAGGAGAGAACCAGGCTAACTGAACTACTTCGAAAAATAACATCTACTTAATGTGATGGAGTATTATAGAAATGGACTTCTCACGATACAAAACAAGGCAAATCATCTCAGAGACATAACCTATGTAATGGGCAGATACTGTTTGATCAAACTTTATTGTTAACAAATATTTATCACTGACTAGTTTTTATTATTCTTATTTAGAGATAAGAAATGTGAGATGTAATTTATTGAAAAAGGTAAACTAATTGTAATATTTATAATGCATTAATCAGATTATTGAGAAGACATAGGTGAGGCATTTTTGCATAACAGAGAATTACAGCTCTTTATAATAATGAAAAAAATGGAGAATTTAAGCAAGGGACATTTTCAGTTCTGGTCAACTGATTTTCAATGGATCAGATGACGTTGTACAAAAACAGACGTGTGCATTTTATCAGAATTAAAAGGTTTCCTCTTACATGTTGCTAAACTGACTCCAATCTTTATAACATGTACTTAGGTAAAAGTTACTTACTACAGTTTTCTTCATCAGAATTATCACCACAATCGTTTTGGCTGTCACACCTCCAATGATCTGGAATACAGTTGTTGTTTTTGCACTGGAATTCATGAGGCCCACAAGTTTTTTTATCTGTAATTAACATGAATATAAGTTACTTCACTGCAGAGAGAGTCAAAATGGGAAAGACTGCTACTAAACAGTGACAAGACAATATTCCCAGATACACTGAAGAAGGACCAACAGTAACACTCGAAATGTTATTTCAGAAAGAATTTATTTCTCATACTACATTCTTTAAGATTAATTACTTTATTTATACCAAAAAATATATGCTTATAGATTTTATGTTAAAATTAAAATAAGGACTGCATACAATATAATTTAAAGTAAAAAATATTACATTCAGAATTGATCACAAATTAGTTTGAAAAGAAGGTATTATTGCAGTGGATCTCAAAAACTGCATTGTCATTTCCTTGTATTTATCTCTAAGATTGCTTTACAAAAGATCAGATCACAGTAAACCACAAGAATATTTATTTGAAAATACACAAAATATATATTTCTCAGAAGTTATGTTTGCATATAATAATTCAAGACTAGTCATACCTGACAGAAAACTTTGCATTTTGATTTACATTTTCACCTTCTGATGTCTTCAGCTGGGACTTCACTTATACAAAGTAAAACATTATTAAGCATTTAATGCTAAACTGAGACTAATTTTCTTCCTGCAGCAAATTTTCAATGGTCTTTCCTGTTTACAGAATAGCACTGTAGGCAAAGCCTTTTGGAGAGGCATGAACATCCTGAACTCCTCCAGCAGGAAGAAGCTGCCTCTGTTTTATTTATATTTTCTATTTCTTTAGTAATTCTTTCAGGTTCTAAGGACTGATGTGAAACGAAGTAAATTAAAAAGTTATCAGTAACATTTTCTTTGGGGAAAAAAAAAGTTTGCTTTGTAAAAGCCTCAATGACATATTTAAAATTACATGTCACTGTGATGATATTTCAATATAATTTTTTAAAAATTTCCATTAGGCTATTTCATAGCATGTCAGTTCAGACTTCATATCACTATCATGACAACTTGCTGAGTTCTAATAACTGACAGAATGAAGAAGGACTGAACCACTAGCTTAAAGCAACCTGCTTTCTCTGCCTGTGAAATGGAAAAGACCACAAATTAGAGGTACTAGATTTGATGTTATGGCCCAAATAGCTACTTTTTATGCTTTGTTTTAGGTGTGGTTCTGGAACTAGAGTGATAAAACAAAAGTACATTTGAATATCAAGAAGATGAAGGCACATGGTGCTGCAGCTCACTTGTGTACACTCAAAAATGTGGTAATCCTGCCTTTTGTATTTGTTCCTTATTCTCTGCTCATATCATGATTGTAAGTAGTTTTCTTCCAAAATACTTTTTCCTATGATGTTTCTCAAGATAACAGTCTGTGATACTTTAATCATGACATTTTAAATACTTGCATTGGCTCACATATTCTTCCCTAGATACTAGCTTTCAGTCACTGCCAGAGACGGAATAAAACGCAAGATAAGTCTTAGATACGAACCAGCATAATCAGTTGTACAAATTGTGCCTGAAAAAAACTATTTAATTTGGGATTGCATGCATTTGCACCTCCATACTATTTAATTGTTTGAGCAATTCAGACTTACTTTTTCTATTGGCTGAAATGATGAATCACAGTGAAGTACCTACTGTAAATACAGTTGTTCTTTCTCAGTGTTAGGGTTTTTTCCTCCTTTTTGCTTTTGAACTTTGTGTCTTGAGGATATTGTTAGATGGGTTATTTTAAGACCCTTTGTGTCATTATCAGTAGAGCTTGTATGGGTTACTCAAAATATGCATCCACAGTTTGGAAGCTTGGAATGCTGCCTAAATTGGAAGAAACTGGCATGTTGGAGATCAAGGTGGTGGTGGATAGAGCAGGAGAAAAAAACACCTATGAAGTGGATCAGAAGGTGAGCAGTGCAGGGGTAGTTCCAGAATAACTCAGAACAGGATATAAGGAGCCCCTATGGTATAGGTTCAGCTCCTTTTATAAGTTTTGGATTCACTGTTTCTTCAAGCCAGATGCTTTTTGGACTTTTCTCTCCACTTGATATGATTAATTGGTTTCCCCTTCTTGACAATTCAAATGATGGCCTTGCATTTTCAGTGTTGAGGAAGAGCTCAGTTTCTTCAACATATTTACCAGCTCCAACATTGGTGCTTGTGTCAATCGCTTGAAACATATCCATGGATATCTGGCTGTCTTTCAGTGCTTTGTTCTTGATTACAGCCTGTAATTTTGTTACTCTGTTGTCCTGTTGGTAGCATAAACTTGTCCAGACTTGTGTTTCATCAAAACACTTACTGATGCATGGATGAGAAATGGTCAACTTTGAATGTTTTGTACGACTATTTGTCCTTTTTCACCTCAGAACATTTTTCCGTCTTTTCCTTTATAGACCTGTCTTGAAATTTCCTCAAGTTTTTCTGTAGTTGGTGAGTGCAACTCTTGAATCAACATCCATGTCCAGTGATTTTCCAACATTACTGATCCACTTATTTTGACTTTGATTAACTGTAATCCATTTCCCATGTGGAATACTGTATTTATTATCTTTCATTTACAACAAAAAAGCTGACTCGGTACTTTCCAACAATGCAAGCAATCACTGAGAACAACGTCTACTACTACTATACAGTGTGCAGGTTTTTTCCCATGTGATGATAAATACCAGGCATATACATAATATAACATACAGACCAGTGTGAAAACTGCTTAGATATTTTCAACTTTCTATGACTATTGTCTTGATAAAATAATTTTAACTGTTTCTACAGAACTATAATAAATTCATCTGTTCTGTCAGTGAGAAATGTGCTAAAAACTGTAAAGATATAGTTGTGATCCAACAATGAATCTTCAAAAAAAGCAGTGAAAGAAATTCTTGGATTCAAAGCTAGTACTTATGTTCTAAAAAATCTACCTCAGTGGGGAAGAACACTGGTGTTCTGGACATTGTGTAAAATCTAGCAGAAAGTAGTGCTTGGTTTGGTAATTACACAATTCTATCCTTGATCTTCTCTGCAGAGGATACGCCTCATCAAACTATGAGATTTAAGTACAGAGGTTTCATACGTATCAATTTTGTGGAGTTGTGTGTTAGGGCACATAACACCCTGGAGCTCAGAGAGAAGCAAAAGTTGGTCATGTCAAGTTGGAATCTGCTCTGGACCCTTCTGCACTGCCAGTCGTAACTAACATGATTTGCAAATTATTACACTTCTCACTATTTATTAACTACAGCAGCAAGAAAATATGCAGAATAAATTGAGAGAAACTGGATAATATTATGAGAAAAAAATCAAGAATGTCACTATATTCCAAATGAGACACGAATTTACAGCTTCTGCCAATAAAGTAGTAGCATAATATGAAGTTTACAGACTACCCATATAAAGATTACCATTCAACAAGAACTGTATGAGCCAGATACAGCTATCATATCAGACAGGTATTATCAGACACTAAAAGAGGACATATTAAGTGGGATGATTATTTCCTTTTGCTACTTTTTTAAAAAATGTCAAGCTACAGTAATATATTCAAAACCACTGGCATACTCACCACAGTTAGCTTCATCTGATCCATCAGCACAATCTGGGTCTTCATCACATACCCACAGTTTAGAAATGCAGTGTTTTGTTGTTTTACACTGGAAATGGTCTGGAGAACAACTGTTTTCAGCTTTAAATAAAAGGATTCCAAATTAAAGCTAGAAATTTCTGCTAATATTAAAAATGTTTGTTTTAGAGGAAAAAAAAAAAAAGAGGAGGCAAAATTCAGAAATTCGATATCTCTAGCATCACTTATGTAACATTGTAAGATAACAGCATTCAGGTTGATATTGTTTGTAATTTTGTCTTCTTTTGCTGTATAATTTTATATACTACAGTAAGGTTGAGCACATCTAATAAACAAAGTGTCTGTTGTGATATACTTTTAACAACAGACAATACTGATACAATCAAATAACTTTAGTAAAAAGCAGTTAATTTTTTTTTAAACTTCCTGAAACACCAGTTATCAATTCTGAAAGTCAGTTAGTTTGAAGGACTAAGGTAGCTCTCAATGCTTTGACTGAAAAGTTAATCAAAATTATGTACAATTTTGGTGAAATTCTGTGCTCTCTGTTAAAAGAGACCATGGATAAATGGTGAGAAAAGTTTGAAAATAATTTCACTTTATCAGATTAGCAGAACAATTTTTTAACTGGAACCTACAGCAAGATAAAGATACAAATATGCAGATAACCTTCATCCTATTCTTTTAGGATGCTGTAAATTAAAGATTAACTTTAGAACAGCCAACAAAAAATCCTCAGTGCACTCATGTGATTCTACATTGACTCCTTTACAAGCACACACGCCAGATTTTACTATTCCTTAAACTCTTATAACTGAGAATAGAGAGGAAAGAAGAATAAAGGAATTATACCTGGACTGGACTGTGAGCAAGCTAATTGTGATCAGATGCATAAAGATTTCTTTAGAGATAAGCATATGTATAAGAATCTCCAAATTGTTCTATACTGAAATGAACATAGGTGGAAAACAGTATGATCTGTTCTCTGATAATGTTTTCCTACATGAATATTTGTCCCACTTTTACCTAGGGAACTCTGTAATATTTTTAACATATTTTCCTACTCCTGAAAAGTTGAAAAGTAATTTGCTCCTTGATATGATCGTTCACGTTCCTTGGGTTTGGCAAGATGAAAAAAAATAAGTTTGTTAGAAGTTGGCATATTATTTCTTTCAGTGTCATGTTTTCATACATAAATTTACAGTGATGGAATTAAAAAGCATTTAGACTTGGCTATGCTGCAAACTATACTTATTAAAAAATAATACTGATTCTCAGGTAAGGCACCTCACCAGGGGATTTCAAGGTGCTTTAAAAGGAAGACCAGCATAATTAGCTCCATTTTACACATGGAAAGCCTTCCGGACAAAATGTGACTTTTTCAAGGTCACTTGAAATACAAAACCAAACAGTGGTAGAGCTGAAAAAAAGGTCTGTATCTTATGAATCCTAGTCTAGTGAAATTGGAATTAAATAGATAATCTCATCTGTTATTCATCTTGTGACAGGAGCCCAAGTCAATATGAACTTTGTGGTAGACCTGCTTAAAACCTCCCCTTTTCATAATCTCCCCAAAGACAACTGAAAAGTTTTCAGAAGCCACAAACGAGGTTTTATTAAAAATGTAAACTAGCACACTTAACTTTCTTAAGAGAGAAGCTAAATAAGTCTAGGTAAGACATAACAGAAATAAAAAATGTATCTAATTAACCTCCCCCACTCCCCACTGTGTCTTTGCAGGTGGGTTGATGGCTGAGTTTCAGACAATTCAAAAGCATGCTTTATCTCACAGCAGACTGTCCTATCCTCACTAATCCCTAGGAAGTTTTCAACTCCATCACTGTTGATCCTGACCCTATCCCTCCCTGAGTCTCTGAGCACTGCTGTGCTTCAGACTCTGCTGCTCCAATTTCATCTCATTTCTGTCAGCTACAACTCACTCAGGGTTTTGGGAACCTTCCATATACCACGTGCAGTTCTTGCTAACGAGAAAAGCAATCTCCCCTATCTTCCACATGAGTTTATCTGACCACACTTAACCAGTTTTCAAAGAAACATAACATGCAAACCAATGTATAATACTGTCTCGCAGAGGCTACAGCTCTGTTGAGTTGTTTGGAAGATGGCCATTAAATACAACCATCAACAAAGCCTTTGTATCTTAGCAACTCTTCTCCTGGAGAAGGTCATGGTCTTTGCAGAAATGCAGCATATGCAAATCTTGAGAAAGCTAATTCAGGAAATAGGAATAAGCACCTTAGATCAGCAGTAGATCTGAATAATGAACTGAGTGAAGGACAGCGATATATTTCAAGACAGTAGCATCATTTTAACTACAAAATAACCAAAGACAAGCTATCCAATACTTTTCCATTCTAAATCTGAAAATATTTTCTCCAGTTATATCTAAGAAATAGGGGGTGAAAATTAATTTATGAAAAGTAAAATATATTAAAAGCTGAGTAATTGGAAATCAAGTTACATATGCAAATTAATGAAGGAGTCCTCAGAGGAAAGGGAACAGAAAAGGTAGAAAACTATCAGTGAAAAAGGATGTAGAAGGAGCTATGGATCTACATATTTTCCAATAAAAAACACAGAAAGGTATATTTTTCCATTGAAATGCGTTGCTGTAAGGTACACCAGATGAAAGCCTCGAGAAGATGAGTCATTTGTGAGGTGGTTAAGAGTAAAATGGATGTTTCAGCCTAAGTCAAAAACCCAATCAAATGCTTGAAATTAATTGTTTACTCACCCCTTTTCTTTGAAATGACTTCAAAAAATGAAGTTAATAAGTGACTTTTTAGTTTGTTCGCTTGTATATAAAGCATCGTACGTCAAACTATCCCATGAATTGACTGTTTTACACGTTCCTCAAATTATTTTACAGAAAAGACATTTATAGTATTTTACATAGTTTACTTCAGTTCCTTGTTTAAACCAGCTACAGTTTTCAGAGCAAAATTCTCTAAACATAACTTACGACAATCTCTTTCATCTTCTTCATCACCACAGTCATCCTGTCCATTGCATCTCAGATTTATTGGAATACACTTCTGATTTCTTGTGCACTTAAACTGACCTGACAGACACACATGTGTGTCTGTAAGTTAAAAGAAGAAAAACATCACGTTAAAAAGATTAAAAGTTAAAGATTAAGAGATTTAAAAATATAAATGAGTTTCCTGACAAAATTTAAAGCATGGCATTTAAATCAGCTTAGCATGCTTCTGAAGTCTACAAAATGTATAATCACCTACCACAGTTCAGTTCATCAGAATTGTCCCCACAATCGTTCTCTCCATCACAGATAAAGGCTGGAAGAGCACAAAGTCCAGTTCCACACTGAAAACGTCCTGGCTGACATCTGAATTCAGCTGAGAAAAAAAGAAATCTGCTTGTCAGTCCTATCAGAGGAATGGTTAAAGTATCAGTAGTGTTGTTCTCCCTCTATGGACTAATCAAAAGAACTTATAAACCTTTTTATTTGCCTGTATCTCACTCTGAGTAGATACTAGTAACTAAAATGTTACGTGTACTATTGCAAAATTAATTTCAAAATCAGAGATTTTAAATTTGCATAAATATAGTTACACCTTACTAATGATACAGATTGCAGCCCTCTACAGGTTGATGCTCGCTACCAGCTCAAAAGACA